CGAGCTATTTCAAAATGATGTTGCTACTTTTGAAGTTTCAAAATAAGAAACAAGAAAACTGCTACAGCAAAATGAGTGATGCTGAAAAGAGCATGTACAGCTAAAGCATTAATACTTGGTATAATTCACTTAAAAGTGGGACGAAAACAGCCACCAAAATGTTTGTTGAGATACCATTTTTAGATACATACTGTATACATATACTGCTTAAAAAAAATAAGGGAACACTTAATCATCACAGTATAACATCAATTAAACGAAACTTTTGAGATATCATATCCATAGCCTTATCAAATATGAACAACTTAAATAGGTATTTATGATGCTGTTTATGATGTGGTTTATTATGTTCGGATGTTTTGTTTAGTTTTCTCTCCCTCTTTTATATTGAACTGCTCAGTGTGCTTTTAATTGCCCCTACAGGGGATGAATAAAGTTATTTGAATTGAATTGAATTGAATTGAATTGAATTGAATTGAATTTCAATCTGTCTTGTTAGGAAGCTTAAGTGGGTTAATCATTTGGTTTCCCACTGCCCAATCATTGCTATCCACTGTGTAACTTATTGAGAACAAAAAATGGAAAGTGCCTATAAAAGTACATGAAAAGAACCCACTTTCCTTGGAAATGTCCTCGTTTATTGTTTTTCAACATATGTGTATCATGGCCGATATAATCTGGCTTTTTTTTTTTTTTGGCAAGAAATGACCAAAAAGACTCTTTCATGTCAAAGTGAAAACAGATTTCTACAAAGCAATGTCAATTAACTATAAACGTAAAATAAGTATACACCGCCTTCAAGTTAGTGTTTAGCTGATGCACCTTTAGTACAGCATTGAGCCTGTACGGGAGGGTGTTTAAAAGCAATACAAGGGGAGGGATGATGAATCGGTTCTCTGCCTGCCATCCAGCTTGCAGTTGTTTGACATGAAATAACACACATTGGTTTAAACAGAGGCGCTGACCCTTGCTGTACAAGCAGTAAAAGCTGCATTTACGCAGACACTCGGCTGAACTTTCACCTACTTCCTGCATCGACCTGCAGCTCAGACGAACACCTGAAAATCCAGCTGTGACCACGACGAGCTGACACAGGAGACATGAAGTACGCAGAGTTAACCAAACCGTTCTCTCCTTATCAGCTTTTGTTATCATGAAAGGGCTTGAAAGGGCTGACCTTATTCAGCACGTCTTGCCAATAGAGTTCAGTGTGACGTGCACCAGGGGTTAAAGAGCAGTGGGTTTATAGCCGCTGCAACTGCGTTATCTCAGAGCTGTGGGTTATTCGGCTCTTATCAGCTATGTAGTAATGAGCCACGAGGTCGACGTCTGCGGGTCCAGCGCCAGTTGTAGTTATAGTATGAGGCTATTTCATTTAAAAAAATATATCAGACATACGTTGATAGTATATTAACTGGTGGTTCACTTCTATCCAACTGATTCTCTCAGTTCATGGATATGCAGAGTTTAAAACGTTGTGCTGAATGAACCCCATTTACTGCAGTTCTTTATAAGAGGCTTCCAAAGCAGACGATGACAGTGTCTTTGTCGGAAAAAAAAGTACATTTTTACAGTTGTCATGCTTTCAAGACAAGCTGCCACTTGCATAGACTAAATACAAAGAGACCACACTCTGAAACAATGCAACGCTACAGGAAAATAGAAATAGTTGATTCTGGTCGCCTGTCAATGCCGTCATATCCCTTATAGCAGCTGTAGCCAAGGAAACATGGTAAGCCCCGGATAATACATCAGTGTGTGGGGTAAGAAAGGAAAAACAAGTTGGCAAACTAGCAAGCTCACTATTTTGTTCCCTTTTGTTTTCCCATTTTATTGTTTGTATTGTTCACTCATGATGGATTGCAGTTATTTTAGAATGGTGGTTTTGACCACAAAAAAAAACAGCCCGATGATTAAATTCACCATGCTGACCCTAGCTATGGAGTCCACTCGTTAGAAATATGTTCACTGAAGTAAAAGACCAAAGGAGAAAATGATTATCTCATTAACTTTTATACATTTGAAGTGGTTTTTGCAAACTGAGGAGTCGCCTCCTGCTGGTTGTTAGTAAGAAAGCAGACTTAAGTCACATCTGTGTTAGTTTTTCATTGTCAGACCATTCTTCACTGCTGACACAACACTGTGCAGAATGGTCATAATTGTGTTGGGGGGCTGCAAGGTGGAGCAGTGGTTGGTATCATTGCCTCGCAGCAAGAAGGTCGCCGGTTCACGTCCCAGTGAGGACACCCAGGATCTTTCTGCGTGGAGTTTGCATGTTCTCTCCGTGCAGCATGGGTCCAAAAACATGTTGAGGTGAATCGGTGATTCTAAATTGACCGTAGGTGTGAATGTGAGTGTGCTTGGTTGTCTGTCTCTAAGTGTAGCCCTGTGATAGACTGATGACCTGTCCAGGTGTCCCCTGCCTTCACCCTGAGTCAGCTGGGATAGACTCCAGCCTCCCATGACCCTAGTAAGGATTAAGTGGTGTACAGATAATGGATGGATGGATGGATAATTGTGTTGGGTTGAGCTAAGCCCATGATATAGTTTTCTCAAAATAGTGACAGAAAAATGCAGGCAGGGAGGCACTGTCATTAAAATGGGTAACTCACAGTAAAAATAAATACATATATATATATATATATATATGCCAGCAGGCTGGTTTACTGTACAAGCCAAACCGTCTGCAAAACAAGAACTTTGAGTGTGGTTGGCTGCTGCTCTGAGGTTTTCGTTGTTGTTTCCGGAAATCAAGAGGATGTTGAAACTGTAACACGCTGACAGTGGAAAGAGAAGAGAACCTACGTAAAATGAGCAGCTAATGGCTGGATTATATCCGCTTTTCAGAAACAGAGGCTACAACCATATTTTACAAACAGTCTGTGGTTTTAGTGACTAATCACCTGTGAAACAACATCAGCAAAGCTGCTGACTATTACCCAACATGATTTTGAAATTATTAGGCCACAGCTAACTAACTTATCTGGACATGTTTGGATTCTAAGTTTTAGTGAGTCGCTATCTCCACATTGTTCGCAAAACAAATCAAACGTTGCTGAACAGCTCGGAGTCCTGTCTTGTGTTTGAACTGGATTTTCTTAATGTTCAGACTTCACTGAATGTGAGTGTGATTCAGGAGCTTTATCTGGATTTAGGGTCGTTTTCTGTGTCCATTTCTTTTTTTTTTACCTCAAAAGAAACATACTTGAGTAAACATAAAAATGCAGAAATGTACAAAAGTCCACAAAAGAACTACTTCATTACAGTAATGAGAGTACATTTGGTACTTTTTCTCCTTACACTGATGCTCTTCGTACATTTAGAGTTCAGGCCATTTACTTGAAACAGAGCATTTCCTCACTGCTGCACTGGTACTCGTACTGAAATGAAAGCTCGGAGTACTTCTTCCAACACTGCACATAAATACCACAAAGGAACGTCTTGTTGCCAGGAAACACTTTAACAAGGGCTTTGACCCTGCTGCCTATTCTGCTCTCTATTTAGCAGCTGTTTTCTTGAACTGTGCTGACATCTACTGGTCTGACTTTGAACAGTTCGAGCCGCTTGGACACTCATAAGCAATACCGTGGGGCTTTTTCTATGATCAGTTGTATGAAAAAGACAGCATATATCGTGCCAAATGGGTCTAATTAAATGGATTTAATATAAATAAAAGCACTTAGTAAATAACCTAAATTCACTGACTCAAACTCAGTAACCTCAGATTCAGTGACATCATAGCTGTTGCACTTCCGCCATAGCAAGAAGTTTTTGACAGATCTTTTTGTGATCATTTTTTGTACTTAATGCAGAACAATTCTGTATTTGCTTAATTTTTGAGCATTTAGGCCCATTTAGAAGTTTCTGATATTACGGTACAACAACATTAGTTTTTAGGGCTTAATGCTACTTTGGTAAAGGTCCTGTTTATTAGGTGAATTTTTAAAATTTCCTTTATTCCTTCTCCATCCTCAGTTCTTGCTAAAGTCCCTTCTCCGTGTGTGTGCATTTTCTAATTTCATACAAAACCAGGACTGGCTTGTGTGTAAGTTTTGGGTGCATAAAAATGCATCATTCTGTATGATCCATCCATTATCTACACACTGCTTAATCCTCACTAGGTTAGGGCGAAGGCAGGGGACACCCTGGACAGGTCACCAGTCTGTCACAGGGCTACACTTAGAGACAGACAACCAAACATGGGGAGAACATGCAAACTCCACGCAGAAAGATCCCAGATGCTCTAACCGGGATGCGAACTGGGGATCGTCTAGCTGCGAGGCGGCGGTGCTAACCACTGAGCCACCTTGCAGCCTATTCTGTACCATGAAGGTCAAAAAGAAACGGTACTGTGGAGTAGAGGGAGTCTCAAACACTAACAAAATGCAATAATTGACCGTATGATGCATTTTTAAAACTTTATCCAAAAGAATGTTTATCAAAAGGTCAAACTGGTGAACTAGACTGGACAAGTGTTCCAAGACCAGTGAACATGGAGCTAAAAAAAGCACATCAACAGAAGCATCAGCAACTGAAAAGAAACAGAAAAGGTGAAGAAAAGAAAAGGACAAAACATAATGTTCCTGAATCCACATGACCTTCTTCTTGTTCTATCAATGCACAACCTCTTTTTTTCCCTGTGTGGTCTGTCCTCCTGTGTTTCCATCCCTCTCTCTCTCTCTCTTTCATGTTGTCACTCCCTTGGTCTCTCTTCCTGTCCCGTCTGCCAACAGTGAAGGGAGCAATGCCCCGACTGGACAGCAGGTGTGCTCGGTAGCACTGCAGCACACAAGCCTCTGCAGTGCTTCCATGTCTGTGTGTGTGTGGATGCGTCAGCAGATGGGACAGCCTGCCAGCTCAGCCACCGCTGCTGCTGCCACTCTGCTGAAGGAGAGGGGGGAGAGAGAGACCAGGCTGGAGGAGTGGAGGGAGAAAGAGAGAGAGAGAGGGAGGGAGAGAGAGAGAAAGAAAGAGTCCAGGCCCAAATAAAGTCATGGGGGCCAGGGCTGGGCTGGGCCCCCTTTTCATATAAATACGCTGGCCGCCTGGAGGTTCGGGTTTGGTGGTTGGGGCTTGGGACCAGCGACCACCACTGCTGCTGCTGTCTTCCTCAGGGGAGTCTCCTCCGCATACTCACCATCCTCATCCTGGTCATCACTGTTCTGGGTTTCCAAGATGCCTCGAGTGGATGCAGACCTCAAGCTGGACTTTAAGGATGTCCTTTTCAGACCCAAGAGGAGCAGCCTGAAGAGCCGCTCAGAGGTCGGTGCTTTTGATTAGATTGTGTGATTCAAGTGTTGCAGCCACAGTTCAGCCAGAGCAGGACAATTCTCAGGAGCAGTGTTGCTGTTGCATTCAGGAAGTATGCCGGCACTCATGTCTCTGTGGCTGGTGACGCAACAGAATTATGTTAACTATTTATACTTGGAGGTGGATGGTGGCTCTGTTTTCTTATCATCTTGATTAAAGCTGAAGAGTGGAGATAATGTACCTGTGCAGCAGCAGCAGCAGCGATGACATTCATTAACCCCATAATCTTGAGAGGATGTCTCACCTCACTGAAGCTGAAAAGTGCACATTTCAGTGTAATTCTATATTTCTTCCTCTCCTCATGGCCTGGTATTAGGTGAGCCATCAGGTGTACACTGCCTTTATACCTCGGTGAGCAAGAAAACACACAAACTAGCCGGAATGTCCATGTAACAGAGCAGTGACCTTCTTAAAGGTGACAGAAAACAAGACGAGGCTGCCAGACAGAAGCCACAAACAATACCTGACTGTAAACAAAGGAAACAGCAAAAAAAGATAACATAGCACGACGTATAAAGTCACATTTTAATCCTTTTGGGCTTGATTTTGGTTAATAATTATCATTTAAAGCAGGTTAAACCGGCTACTGTGTCTCCACCGGCGACTGATTAGATGCTCTGAGACATCCCGACCCTGTGCTTGTTGTTTATGCTTCCTTATAACTTCCTCAGATGTGTCACTAGATCCAGAACTGATACCGACCCAAGATCATGATACTGGCATGGCGGCACCAGATCCAGACAGGGAAGTGGAAGTGGGTGGGAGCCGGCCTCTGAGAGGTGGCGAGCAACATGAGACGCAGGAGACTTCTCAGAAAAGCTGTTTAAAAATAGGACTGTGTGTGTTACAAGCATCCAGAGCACATTCCGTATGCCACAGTGATATCAGTATAACATCACATGCATATGTTCGTGTATATATAGTTGTAGTTGTAGAAGAGGATAAACTGCATCAATAATGTGTCCTTTTTGCTCCTTAACTGTGAATTTTCTCAACAAAACACCTGCTACAGCCCAGCAAATAGAAGATGATGGTAAATGCAGATGAGCCCTTTAAAAAATTGTGTTACACATCTGTATGAGCTTAGCCAGATGTTTGGAGAATTCAACCCAACGCATATAAAACTGAAGTCATCACAACACTTCACAGTTCTCTGCTTTAATCTGTGGGATTTGTGGAGCAACACCTGATGAATGTCATTTGTTTTTTTTAGTGGTTTCGTTGCTCCAGATCTTCAAATATAGTGTAAATCTTCACAATATGTTCTAACTGAGTCCACTGGATTCATACTTTGTCACTAGTTACAGGTAAATATAACAGAACTCCAAACCCTGAGTCAGCCTGCTGTAGTAAAAAAAGAAAAAAAACCGTCTTTCTCTATATTGATGTGCTGCAGCAAGAAAAAGGATACGCACCACTGGATCCTGCTCCCTCCTCACGTTTTCCACCACCTTCCTTCATTTCACCATTATGAGTTATAGCACAATTTTTTTGCTGTGGCTCTGAAATTGATTCCCCGAGTGCAAGTCATGGAGCAATTTATACTGTTACTCTATTCCGTAGCTTTGCATAATAAATGTCTTAATCGAGAAAAGCATTCAGCACTAAGTAAAGGGAGTCATTTTACAATATGTTTTAAACTGTTAACAAGTTTTTCTCCCCCTTTTTTTTTAACATCCTAACTCACCTTCTCAACATGTGTTTCTACAGTTTGATATAGTTTTACAGTTTGGCAAACTAGAAAAAAAAAGCATGTTTACTTTGAAATTATCTATATGTCTGCAAGGTGGAGCGGTGGTTAGCACCGTTGCCTCACAGCAAGAAGGTTGCCGGTTCGCATCCCGGTGAAGAGACCCGGGATCTGTCTGTGTGGAGTTTGCATGTTCTCCCCGTGCAGCGTGGGTTCTCTCCAGGTTCTCCAGCTTCCTTCCACACAGTCCAAAAACATGATGAGGTTAATCGGTGATTCTAAATTGTCCGTAGGTGTGAATGTGAGTGTGCTTGGTTGTCTGTCTCTAAGTGTAGCCCTGTGATAGACTGGTGACCTGTCCAGGGTCCCCTGCCTTCACCCTGAGTCAGCTGGGATAGACTCCAGCCCCCCACGACCCTAGTGAGGATTAAGCGGTGCATAGATGATGGATGGATGGATCATCTATATGTGTAGAACAAGCAGAAAATATAAAACTAAAATACAAATTGTAGCGTTCATCTACACCAGAACAAGAAAGCTTCTTCCCGCAAACACTGCTGAGTGTACTGCACTGAACAAGCGTGTGATTTATTATGAGTTCAATATTCAATTTGTAAGAAGAGGATGCATTACTTTATTAAAGTCCCAAACGCTGCATATGTCACCTCCACTCTCTCATATACTGAGCAGCTAACAGTCCAGTGCTCCAGACCCTCTACGATAAGATTGATTTGTAACGCTGACGACCTTCTTGAAACAAATCATCGCTATGATCTACATCGAGAGTTTAGACCAACGCCTTCCTGTAAAGGGAGCAGCTCCACAATGAGCTCTGCTTGCTTCACGTAGCTGATCACATTACAGGCAGCAGCACTAGAAGCTCAGCATTAGATCTAAATGATTCAGTGCATCCCCATTATGGCTGCACACGCTCCGAACATGAGCCACACGAGCTGCTCCCGTGTTCACAGAAAATCTGGAATGACCCTCAGTCAGCTGTACAGAAAACTAAACATGTCTTCTGCCTTTAGGTGGATCTTCAGAGGACCTTTACATTCCGCAACTCCAAACAGACCTACACTGGCATCCCCATCATCGCTGCCAACATGGACACCACGGGGACGTTTGAGATGGCACAAGTCCTCAGCAAAGTGAGTGAATAGGAGAAATAAAGGAGCATCACTTCTGAAAATCATGAACCCTTTTTGGTTTTCTGTCACAGTTTTTCATGGCCCATGATTAAAGCCATGATTTGTTGTTAAAGATTCTGACACTGAGTTGCTCCTAAAATCTAAAGCAGTCCTGTATTCCCTCACCTTGTCTGTTGTGTCCTCGGCTGCTTCCCTCTTTAGCACACCCTGTTCACAGCTATTCATAAACACTACTCTGTAGAAGACTGGAAAAACTTTGCTGCTAGTCATCCAGAATGTTTAGAGGTAAGATATTTGCATCGTCACTCATGACAGGAGCATTCTTATTTCTAAAAGCCTCCCCACTAAATGAACTGTCACTTTTCCTCTCAGCATGTAGCGGCTAGCTCAGGAAGCAGCAATGCAGATCTGGAGAGGCTGTGTGCCATCCTGGAGGCCGTGCCTGCCCTCAAGTACATCTGTCTGGACGTGGCCAACGGCTACTCCGAGTACTTTGTGGAGTTTGTCAAGACGGTCAGAGGAAAGTTCCCCAAACACACCATCATGGTAAGACAGTGTTCCTGGTGGCTGATGGGATGTCGTGCATCTGAGACAATGTGTTGATGTTAATGCTGTCTGCCCTGCAGGCCGGTAACGTGGTAACAGGGGAGATGGTGGAGGAACTCATCCTGTCTGGGGCTGACATCATCAAAGTGGGCATCGGGCCAGGTGGGTGGCTCCACTGTCCTGAGGGTGTCTGTGAATAGTGTGAGAGGTGTGTGTGTTCGCTCTAAGGCAACACAAAACTACACATAGAGGACAATAGACAGGCAGTTAAATACACACGAGCCACAAAGAAAGAGACACAGCGCTCCAATCAAGATCAATTTGACTGCTTTTCACTTTATAGAGTCAATTGACTGGTAAAGCCAAAGTGTTTCCAGCAGAGAAATAAAACTGGTAGTGCAAAGTTATCCATCCATCCATCCATCCATTATCTATACACCTCTTAATCCTCATTAGGGTCACAGGGGGCTGGAGTCTATCCCAGCTGATTAGGGTGAAGGCAGTGGACACCCTGGACAGGTCACCAGTCTATCACAAGGCTACACTTAGAGACAGACAACCAAGCACACTCACATTCACACCTACGGACAATTTAGAATCACCAATTAACCTCAACATGTTTCTGGACTGTGGGAGGAAACCAGAGAACCCGGAGAGAACCCACGCTGCACGGGGAGAACATGCAAACTCCACACAGAAAGATCCCGGGTGTCCTCACCGGGACGCAAACCAGCGACCTTCTTGCTGCGAGGCCACGGTGCTAACCACTGCTCCACCTTGCAGCCCTGCAAAGCTATCAAGAAGTTTAAATATTACAAGTTACACCTGTTTCATCTGTAATGTCAATGTACCTCAGTTATTTACATTTATGGGTCAAAACTGACAATATTCCATAGAATGCAAATTTAAATTGAGGTTAAGACCCTAGAGTGTTGTTAATTTAGGGAGATTTACTTGAATAATTTTAAACTAAAGGTAAAACCTTAAAAAAATGAAATAAACAGAAAACTCAAGCAATCTGTGGATTCCCTTTGAGCAAGCCTATTTGTGACAGACCTCCTTTTTAATTTTGCAAACTGACCTGACTAATTTAAATATTCAGGTCAGACCCTACAATATTATATATAACACAATTTAACCTTAAGCTGAAGAACCTACAATATTGTTGACTCACCAATTTGAAAATCAAAGTTAGTTTAATAAAAAAATCCAACAAACCCAGCAACAGTGTAGAAGAAGAACTCCCCTCCCAGCAGGACCAGGCTCAGGGAGGACAGTTCTCTGCCTCCACTGATTGGGTTGAGCATAAAAGGTAGAGAAAACAGGACAACAACAAGAGAACACTGGACAGATTGATGGAAGCTGTAGCTGCAGATCGGAAACATGCAGCTCCAGAGCCAAAAATACCTGCAGAGAGGTGAGAGAGAGGACAGACAGGACAAACTACAGCAGAGAGAAGACAAAATGTTAGTGACATGACAAGGACGAGCACGTGTGAAGACAGCCGTGTGATCAGGACAGCTGAGGTGAAGCATAATGGCTGGATGAAAGGAAAGAGTTGAACTATAATAGCGACAGGGCAGAAGAGAGAACTGATGGAAATCAAAACTGTAGCTTCAGAGGAAGGACTGAGAGTAGACATGAAAAATGCAGCTTTAGGAAAAACTAAAAGCTTTGGAAGAAAGGTTAGTCTTTAATTTTGATTGGAATTTGCCAATGATGGAACACGATTTAATGTAAGATGGGGGATTGTTACAGAGAATGGTTCCAGTAACTGAAAAAAGCCTGTTGCTTTTGGTTTTTGAAGTTGGGGACTGAGAAGAGTAACTAAGAGGTGACCCAGGAGCAGAAAATGCTAACATATTGGTAATGTGCTGTGGAGCTAAACCGTTAACAGACTTTTGTTTTTATGTTTTGTGTAGAGTGAACAGCATGTAGCGTACGTACCAAACATTATACAGCATCAAGTCACTCCCTCCTCATCCTGCAGGATCCAACTGTCAGCTGGCTGTAGATAAACAGAACATGGTTTCTCTGGTATAATAGATACACCGAAGAACAAACCAGAACTTAAAAGCCAATTCTTTAGATTTCTTTTAACTGCTTGTTCTACACGAGGCCGACGCTGCTTCACCTCGTCTGTTGCTATTTACCGTCTGGTGCCACATTCAACAGTCTGCAGGCGCTTGTTGTTACAACAGCAGCAATTCAATCTGGATGGGATCTTCTCTTGTTTGCTCTGTGAATGGTCTGTTGCAGGTTCTGTGTGCACGACAAGAATCAAGACGGGAGTGGGCTACCCACAGCTCAGTGCTGTGATAGAGTGTGCAGACTCAGCCCATGGACTCAAAGGACACATCATCTCTGTAAGTTCAGCGCACAGAAATAACTCCATACGAGGTGAAGGACAGTCAGAGTTATCATGTAGAGGACAGAAGTAGTACTATTACATGCTTAGTAAAGTTATCTTCTCCTGCTTGGAGTCACAGGACATATTAGCCAGTAGAGGGCATCATCAGTCTTTAAAGGCTGGTAGAACAAACACTGAAGAACCTTTACTTAATTCTGCTGACTCAATCTGGGCCCATAAAACTCATTTGTATTCTTCTCTATTCAGGACGGCGGCTGTAGTTGCCCAGGAGATGTAGCCAAAGCCTTTGGTAAGTGATCAACCCACAGTTGGTTTTTCAATCTCTTCACATCTCTCTGCTGCTCCACACATCCAACCACTGCTCTGGCCCTTCAGGTGCTGGGGCAGATTTTGTAATGATGGGAGGGATGCTGGCGGGCCACGACCAGTGCTCTGGGGAGGTGATTGAGAAGAACGGGAAGAAATACAAACTCTTCTACGGCATGAGCTCTGACACGGCCATGAAGAAGTACGTCGGTGGGGTTGCTGAGTACAGGTGAGAGATCCTGAGGCGCATCGTGGCTGTGAGTCACGAGTGGAGGCTCAAAATGTGCTGCTGGGATCCCTTCTCGATATGACTAATATTATACACATAACTCACATGTATTTGAGTCAAACGCGCCACGTGATCCCTCTGATGATTCACTGTGTGTGTAGGATACTGGAAAATCATGACAGATCCTCTTTGAGCTTTCAGAGTAGTTTCTTACTCTCAAGAGGCACAAGAGGTGAATAAGTAACAACAACCCCTACTTCTTCCCGTCTTTCCTCGGCTCTCAGGGCGTCCGAGGGGAGGACGGTGGAGGTTCCCTACAGAGGAGACGTGGAAAACACCATCCGCGACGTGCTGGGAGGACTCCGCTCCACCTGCACCTACGTGGGCGCCGCCAAACTCAAAGAGCTGAGCAGGAGAACCACCTTCATCCGAGTCACGCAACAGTCCAGCCAAATGTTCACCCAGTAGGAGGGAAAACACCCCTCAAACATGTCTCATGCAGAGTCCTCATGTGCAGCAGTAGGACTGTGTCCTAACACATACATGCACTTCACCTTCATGATCACACAACCTGTTTCTCTCAGGATATCTGCTCTCACAAAGCCCGCAACTAAATTAAACCCAAAGTTCAACTTGAAGTCCCCCAGAGGGGTCGCAGCACTCAGCATTCAACTTATTCTTACAGCGAGTGCGTTTACATGCTTACCAAAATGTACCGTTGTAATATACAGGTATCATGTTTTTGGATGTGCAAAAAATAATAATCATTTATAACCACCTGGATGCTTCCTAGTTTTGGGACAGAAGAACACAGATGTATCAGAAGTCTTCACAGCAGTTGGGGTGTTTCTATATCAACAGCATATCAGAACGTGTTGATGTGAGATGCATGTAAACACACTCAGCATGAGGAAGCTGAAACCAGTGCTAAGATCATTATGGGGAAACTACTGTACTGAGCTGTATTTTGAAATGAATGTGCAAATGCAATATGCAAGATCCAGAGACTCCTCCCTTTAAGCGTCACTGGAGGACTCATGTCGCAATAAACTGCATGCAGAACCCTCTGCTGACTTCCTCAGTGTGTGTCGGTCATTCTGTGAAGCTTCACCGAGTCCATTCCTAAAGACTTTCTGTCTGTTTGCATGTGTGTTGGACAAGTTGGGACACTTCCACGATGACGATGAAGACTTTATGTCTTGCAAACATTTGGAATATTTGAGATGAAAGTTGGTTTAAAGTAGTCACATCCTCACTGACTGACCCTGACAGTTTAAATCAAGGGCTGTCTCAAGCTTTGCTCGAGTTGCTCTCTTGAACTTTGAGGAAGAAGCCGTTCACACAAAGTAATGATACACTTAAACCAGAACTCCAAACTGAAATATATATCGGACTTTTAGCACCACAGTTTCCCCATTTACTGGAATAAAGACTGAACATAGAAGTAGCTGATTGGAGAGTGGTTCATCTGTTTCCTCTTTGTGGGTAATAAACTGTACATCGAGCTTTGATTTTACATCAGAACTTTTTAATCTTAGATTGTTAATGCTGGGCAAAGTTGATAAAAACCAATGAAGAAGAACAAACAAACTTCTCCCACATGTTTCTGATAGCCAGCATCTTCTTAGAGACAGACAACCGAGCACACTCACATTCACACCTACGGACAATTTAGAATCACCAATTAATCTCAACATGTTTTTGGACTGTGTGGGAGGAAGCCGGAGAACCCGGAGAGAACCCACGCTGCACGGGGAGAACATGGAGACTCCAAGCAGAAAGATCCCGGGGGTCCTCACTGGGACACGAACAAGCGACCTTCTAGCTCTGAAGCAACAATGCTAACCACCGCTCCACCTTGCAGCCTGTGACGAGACATATTGAGAGTAAATAAAACTTAAATCACAGCTTGTTTCTACTGTGTTGCTGGCTACCTGCTGTGTGGACATGACCAATCAACTGAAACTAATTTGACATCATCAACTTGCAGTCAAAATACCAACCAAACTTCATGCCCACGCAGTTTCATACACAACATAATAAGTAGCATCTATGAGCTCAGAGCAGAAAACCTTCAAAGATAACTGAAGCGTGTGGATGATTGAAAAGGCTGCAGTTTCCACCACATTTGAACTTTTTCCACGAGTTTCTTTTAGTGTCATCCTGTAATGCTGTGTATGATTCACTAGAGGGGGCTGCTGTCAGCTCAGTTTCAGTGCTCAGTCGAGTCATCCAGCCATCCATTTGTCAGCTATACTCACTTTATCCTGTAGAGGGTCGTAGGACGGCCTGTCCCAGCTGAGGCCGGACGAGAGGCGGGACACGCAGGGTTAACACAAAAGCCCAGACAGGCGCTCACACCTACGGCCAGTTTAGAAACAACAATCCACCTACCGTAGATTACGGGAGGAAGTTGGAGAAACCCAGAGAAAACCCCACACAGAGAACATGGAAACTCCACAAGGGAAGGCAGCAGGTCTTACCGGGAACCTGTGCTAAACACTTCAGGGAAACCAACAGTGGGAGAAAAAAAACCCATCACAGCTAATGCTAATGGTGGCTTTAAATGTAGTGGACGGACACCTCGCTTCGAAGGTACATCAGGTGCATTGCTATTCAAATAAAGACACAAATTGTCGTTTTATTCCAGATATGTCAAGGTTTCATTTTCTTTTTCAAAGAGGTGCATTTGTACAGATGTCAAATACATACACCAACAGGGTTTCTCCATTGCTATAGAGGAAAAGGGGTGGTGAGACACAGGGACTTGGTGAGTACAATATAGTACAAACAAGTTGGCTGGGAACTGCTCTGGCTCCTCCCCCTCCTCCCCCACCCGCCTCCCCCCACTGCAGGCCAGACTGTCCGTGCAGGTCTGATGTCCAAGTTCTCTGCCACCGTCTCAGAGGCCACAAAGTTTCAGTTTGGTGTCACAGGTTAGCAGAGAAACATCTCGACAGACTGGTTGCGAGCCTCGGGGCTGAGTGTTCAGAACATTCGAGGGGGGTGGGGGGGGAGAAAGGATGGACTGAGCCACAGCTGACAGATAAAGCTCCACCTCCTCCGTGGCAGTGGGCAGGGTCAGAGGTCAGGAACCAAACAGCCTGTCCCCTGCTGAAAGTGTTTGTCGCCTTGCACAGAGAGGCGGACCAGAGACGTTCAGTACGCTGAGGAGTAATCCGAAGCCACCTCCAGCATAATACACATAATATCATAATAATAATTTATAGTTAATCGTCAATAATGACATTTGTTAATCATCGATCAAATATCAAATTATATGTAATAAATTTACATATTTTATAACCCATATCAAACAGCCCACTATGCAAATTGATTGGGGTGAAACTAAACTGTTAAGTGGGCCTCTACATGTTGTTGTTTTTTTTTTTTTCTTTTTTTCTTTTTCTTTCTGCCTGAGTTGGTTATCCAGCGCTATGGACATTGACGAGACATCATACAAAAAAAAGAAAAAAAAAGAAAAGAAAACAAAATTAATGAAAACAAAAAAAAAACAAGTGGAATCCTGATCGAATTCTGTTCACTTTTAAAACACGACAAAGTGCCAAAAAAAACAACACATCCTTTTTGCAAAAAAAAAAAAATGAAAGTACAAACATCAAGAAACAAAGAGCACACATGCCTTTTTTTTCTGATCAAAAAGTCAAAGCTCACACACCAACATTCATTTTATTTGTCAAGTTGTGCAAGAAGCCAATTAAAAAAAAAAAAAAAAGAAAAGAAAGAAAAAAAAAGTCGACATTAGCAGTGCTCCTCCAGCGAGGAAGCTTGTCATAAAAACTCAACAATGACACATTCTCTACATACTGTAGTTTTAAGTCCCCTGACATAATATTGAGTGCTACAAGGAGACCGAAAACAAGAAAAAAAAAAAAAAAAGCTCCTGCACCAAAGATAATGCAAACAAAGCGAAGGTTTGCCATTTTTGCACCTCGCAGCCGAACCGAGCCGCGCCGACTCCTGACATCAGCCCAATTAGAACTCAGAATGTGACCATAACGAATGAACAGCGCGGCCCGGTGGGTGTGGGGCGGAAAAGATTTCAAACAAACCTTAACACAACAAAAAGAAGGGATGCTTTCCATGAGAAAGGGGTTTTTTTCCCAGTAGAAAAGAACCAAGGAATCACCTAACACCTCGGCCCGTTGGACCCAAGAACGCGCCGGGCGCCAAGTGAGATGGAGCACAGACAGATAAACACAAGGTTACGGCAAGGTGATGTGCAAAAACTTGAGCCATCTCTCTTAGTCATCAATATTCACCCCCTGTTTTTTTTTCTTTTTTCATTCTCATTCTCTCTGTCTGTTTTTGAATGAATGTTACCCCCAGGACGGGCGTCGGTCTGAGACAGAGGGGTTAGACCGAGCCCGTCCTAGGATTAGAAAGTGCTGAAACATTATCAAGTCTTTTACATCTACTTACATGTGCATCTCTGTTGGTTGGTTGTCTTTTTTCTTTTTTTTTTTTTTTACTCTTTTTTTCTTTTTCTTTATTACAAAAAAAAAAGTGGTCCCCACTAGCAATGAGGTTTTGTTTTTTCCTGTGGGTCTCACCGTGAACCGTTGAGGGTCAGGGTTTATGATCTCACAGACGATTAGAGGAGAAAACACTCCGCTACACACACACACACACATCACACACATTTCACTTAAACCCTAACACACTCACACACGTTTGAACACCAGGTGCACATGAGCACACGTACGACACACGTGGTGCAGACTCGCGCGAAAAATTTAGGAAGGCCGCAAGGACAAAAAAAGGGAAAGAGAGTTACAGGAAAAAAACTCTTTGTTTCTCTTCACAAACATCCTGACTCTTGTTTTACAGATGTGACACACATCAGACAATAAAATACACAAGCCATTAACGAGGATGAGACACTGGAGTCGGACTATGCTACATACACTTGGCACGGTAAAGGGATGGGTGGGAGAGGGGGAACAAGATGTAAGTATTGCACATTGTGGTACGTTTTAAGGGGATGGAAAGGTTAAACTTGGGATCATTTAACAGAATCACAACTACACTGAACCCTCTAAAAAATGTTGAAACCTTGCTGTGACGTGCCACCCGCTCTTCCTGCATTCAGGATGTGTCGACATGTCAGATTGATTTGTGTCGTAATCTATAATTAAGCATGCACTTCTCACTAAAATAGAACCAAAACGGCCTGCAGAAGCTAGTTGGTGAATAGGAGACCGAATGTCAAAAGATGACGCTACTAAGGGGAACAGGCAGTAACAGGCCGGTCCTGCGATATCCAGGTCAGGCCACACTGAAAGGTAGCTAACGGTTGTTAAGGGTTGACTGATTGCTTCGCCTCAGGAGGAGGTGCTTGCGAGGCTGGCTGGCTATGATTGGGTACCTGAAACGAAGTTAACGAGGTCACTACGGGAGTCGTGGCAACGAGGCAGAGCTGGGCGGAAGTCGAAACGTCTGCTGGTCACCTCGGGTGCGTGTTCACCGTCAGCGCGGCAGCAGCAGCGTTCACGACCGACCAGCAGGGACGAAAGGAGGTTTTGTGGGGTTATCTTCAGTTACTGCATATATGAGATACTTCCCTGAAAACTAGCAACTGGTGTTGCAACTGCAATCGTTTTAAAGATTTAAACGTACTTCATGATGTGAGGGAATAGTGGTAATAAAAGCAACTTCAGGTATTTTAGCGTCTAAAAACATGTTCCAGTCGATGACAGAATTCTAGTTTTTCTATGGGCAGAAAGTGTTGTTTTGGTTGCAATGCTGGAGGATCATTATTAAAATGTTTATTGCAAAGAATTTGAGTGGAATCGCTGTGATTGAGATCCACTCAAACACAAGGAGAGAGCCTGAATATTGTCGTACTATTGCTATGACCAAAGCAACAACAGCATCACTTGGCTTTGGCTTTTTTTTTATTATACGTTTTACCTGATCAACGATAAAAGTTTGGATGGTCTGAGTGGCTGACAGGTCTGTTTAGATGTTGTGGTTCTGCTTTTTCATTTGTCGGTAAGGGGGCTGGACAAACACTTAAAAAAAAAAAGGACATACATTTACAAAACACAGGCACACACA